GCTACGTTGTTCGCGGTCTAGATATTCATTACCCACTTCGACTGGCTAGATAAAAACGGTTCTTTCTCGCTTGAGTATACATTCTCTTTCTAAAATATACATTTCTCAGTTTCCCGGTTAGTAAGAGTTTGAGGACTCGAAGGAAATTCATCGGTAACAAAATCTCTTCAGCGAAAATTTGCCGTTCTCCCGGCACGATTGAAACGAGCGCAGAAACGTTCGCGGCAAGAGTCACCGATGGAAATAATTTCAAGCACCGTAACGCTCCATACCCTCGGTCCATCCGTTGGCCTGCGGATTACTCTCGGAGAGGGGGGCAGAAAGATCGAGGATACCCATCTCGAATAAATTTCCTGCCGGTGGGTGGTACCGGCTGAAAAGTTAAGGTTAGACGGAGGTTAGTAGAGAAAGGAGCAACGGAGAGACGAAACGGAGAAGCAGAGGAGGGCGGAAAGAAACGAACGGAGAGAGAGATACAAGCGACGGCAGAAGGAGAGCAGGTGCAAACTTGGCCTGTCAGGAAGTCGCTTACAGCTCGAGGACAAAAGCTTCCCGAGGGACTCGTGCGCGTCTGGAAGCGGGACTGGGGCCGGAGGTCGGTCTGGATAGAGAAGATGCCGGCGTGGAAGGAGGTTGAAGGTGCCGAGTAGGAGGGGTTGGAACGAGCCTAACTGTGAAATAACAGGGTGGCCTCCTCCAACCCCCGTGCCGAGGATACGAGTCTCATACGTCACTTTCTTACGGCGAAAGAGGGCGGCGTCTAAGGGTGGAAGCGGGTTATATTGATTTATTTATACCGAGGACGCAACCCTAATACGATGGGGTTATTGGGAATGTATCTATATCCGGGATGTAACCAGGTCTGCGTCATTTCACGCCGAAAATCTCTCGACTACGTCACGATCTTCCAGATCCTTATCGAAACTCGCGCACATTCGTCGAACGTTCACCTAGAATCCAACGAAGCTAACATCGAAATATCTTCGTCTTGGAATCCCTGATCCTCGGATCACTGGCCCGGAGGATTAAATCCAGGGTCAATTAACGGACGCGGAGTATCACCAGCGAATTCCAAAACCGATGGCTGCGAAACGAAGAGATTGAAGAGGTCGCGGCCGGCTATATGAAACCGCGGGGAATTGCAATTGAGAATATTCGAGGGACCAACTATGCGTAACGGTTCAACGAACCGTAACCAAGACGGCCGCTGATGCGAGTGAATCAGTCCGATACCGATCCGCCGCTCGAATTACGTGCCAATTTACAATCGTCGGGCCATGGTAATCCGTAAAAATAAACCGGCGGCCGGTACGGGGCACGGTCGCGTGCGTATCGAGCTCTCCGGGGTCTCGGGTTCGTCCACGGTTCGGATGACGCGGACGCCGAATCGTCCGGCGACCCGATTCCTCGCGCCCGATCCCAGATCCTTCTCGTCCTCCTCTCTGGTTTCATCTGCTACATGACTCGGCCGCGTGGCATGACTGTCGCTAACACACGAGCCCCGAAGTTAACCCGCAATTTAGCCGAGAGAGCGATCGTTCAAAAGAGACGTCTCACTTGATGCCACTTAACGAATCCTCCGCTCCCATCTCCCTCCACCTCCCGCCCCTTCCCCCCACCCCTTTATCGCGCTCCGTCTTTGTCTCCGGAGCAGCGGCGACGGCCGACTCGCGCTCGTTTCCAGATGCGACGATTGCTCTCCTCAGAACACGGAATCGGCCGTGATTAAAGTTTCAGGGGCGGAATAATTCATGACGCGGTTCGAGCGCCTCAATGAATTCGGATCGTCGCTCTCCTATCCTCTCCGCCAGGAGTTTCCTCGAATTCAATTACACGGCCGCGGCTCGCGCGGCGCGTTCGTTACCCGCCGAGCGTTCCGCGCAGCGTTCAATTAACGTCCGTACTCGCGGCTCGCGTCGTAATAATCGCGCTGGACGCGGAGCGAAAAAATGAACGTGGAAAAAAGAAACGGCGTGACAGGAGAGAGGGTCGGCGCGCGCGAGACGTTTCCTTCGCGGAAAGCAACGGGTCCGCCCGGGAATCCGCGGCATCCGAGCGTGGACATGAAAGGCATTCTTGGACGTCTTTCGAAATTCCCACGATAAATCACGGTTATGGGGTTGACGGGGTGACGCGTATGATTACACCCTGTCTCTTAGCGGCTATAAATTTCTTGCCGGCCGACTCCACCTCCGCTCCGAGATCCTACAGGTATCCGGAGGTCCCGTTTCGTCGTGGAACAGTTGTGACTCATGTCTAATGGCTCTGCCACGGAACCGAGCGACTTCGAATAATCCTGACGTATCGCTTGCTCTCGCCACCACTCGCTCCTGGATAGAATGGCACCGGGAACATCGAAACGATCATCGCTTCCTTGGAGCTTTGTGATCGTGCTCGCGATCGTCAGTGTCTGGTCTTCCTTTCATTTCCGTCCGTTATTCTGAAATATTACGCGAGTCGCGCTGTATCTTCAAAAATTCCTCGGGCAACTAATCTGCTCGCTTACGGAGTACTTCAGGCTAAGAACGATCTTGGACCATTTCAAGAATTAATCTGAAAAAGGATTTGTTCACGTTTGTCAAGGATGCTTGAGACGATGGGAGTATTCTGAAGTTGTAAGATGTTAAAATTTCATCTCCTAGAAAGAACTGCGTATTCTTTATAATACAAATGTCACAGTTGAATCGATTAATGTATACGTTCAATGATTTCCAAACATATAAAAGATTCGAAAAAACGTAAACAGAATTCGACGTTTTGAGAGCACCCGCTCGAAATCTATTCTCAATGCGCCTCCAGCTGTCCCTCGAAGCCGCGTACCTAACTATCGCCTTCGAATCGCTGGCCCAGCCCTGTCATTTGGTGGAACCACAAATTAACGCGACTAACCGTAACCGTGGAGTTAAACGTGCCCTTCGCGTCGTGCCTCGGAGCGTGATCCGCGTTTTCAAATCCATTAGCCTTGCATTAAATCTCCGTTCCGGCAACGTTCTTTCCCGACGAGCATCCTCTTTGACAACGCCATAGACGTTGAATTCCAATTTTCTAATTAATTAAGGACCACAGATCGCGGAACGTTGGACGTTTCTGGCTGCGTGTGCCGTTCCAACGGCGAACAGCCAATATGGCGACGCGTCTAGTCGCCACCGAGCGAGGAAGCAATCTTCCGCTTTTCAAGAATATAATTTTCGCCGGGGGGATGGTCGCCATAGTTCCAAGATAAGGCTATAGAGCTCCGGCGGATCCTCCGCCGCTAGACCGGCGAGACCCTACTCTCTCGTGTGAAATTACTTCGCTCCGCGGCTTACTCTTATCCCCCGGTGCCACCCTTTCTTACCGTGTATCCTCATTCAGCCGGGATCTTCCTGGAAATAAAGTAGATACCTTTCCTATTTTCGCATCCGGAAAATTGCAATACCTCGGCTACACGGGACTGCCTGTCGGTCTTATAAATCAGTCTCGTCGCTGCAGCGTTAATCGGGTCGCAGCTCATTTATTTTTTCCTTCCATTCGCTCCCTCTTCTCTCTATGCATTTGTACTTGTGCCGTTGGATTGTTACGCTGGTAGCGATATATTTCCATATTCGTTGTTTATATAGGGTGACGGATGAAAGAATGTTTCAGCGTCAAGCTATACAGGAATACGATAACTTTGCTACATTTCATTTTTGTACACAGTGAGAAATATTTTATTTTCTTAAGGATTCTTCGGTGAATGAGCATTCTAGAATAGATCATCGTTATCGACACGATAGAAAGTACAGTGTAGAATTAATAAATGAGAATACTTGTACACATAGAAACGCCAAATTAAAATCACCCTCCCTCCGTCGCTGTATATCATCCTTCTCGGCTCTCACCGAATTAGTCGCGAATGTTGCCAATGCCAATATTAATCACGTTTAATTGAGAAATATAATCCAAGCATCGTCGAGCCCGCTCCGGATCCGTATCCGCCGATAGGTTTCTATACGGTAGGCGGTGTACACGGTTGAACGAGTGCCGGCTCTTAACGCAACAAGCTCCTCGCACGTTTATCTAATTATTATAATTGCACGATTATTCTTGGTCGAACGAGCGCGGCGGCGCGCGGGGTGAGATCGCATGCTGGCCGTCGTCCGGCACGGCGAAAAAGAAGGAAAGAAGTAACGGGATATATATGGAGCAGCACGCGATAGGATCTCCCGGTCGAAGTCGTGATGCAAACGATCACGAATTCTTTGCTTCCTTTGTATCGGCCATTTCTGCATTCTTTCGGTGCATACACACACACACGCGCGCTCCTTCGGGCAGCGGCGTACTCGTAATAACTGTTCCGCGGCGGAATTTTCCGTGGGATCATTCATTTTTCCATCGGTGACCGGATCCGGGTTATTGGTGAGCTTATGGTTCCTCCTTTCCCTACGAATTTATACTTCCGCATTAGCCGACGATCCGACGAGTACTCCTTCAGCCGATCCATGTGATTAGATCGTTCCACTTTACTTTACATGTTAAGTTTTTGATGAATTCTGTTTACAAATTGTTGAATTATTGTGTTCGCCAACCATTGTTACACACTTCGGAGAAATGTATGCGCCGTTTATTGCACTGTATAGGGGTGAACATTAGCCTCGCATCGTATTTGCATGTTCACGATAAGTCAACTGCTATTTTCAATTAACTCAGGACGATAAACGGTCATCTGCATGCGGCGACACATTATTTTTAAACCATGACGCCACCGATTGTCCATAGTTAAAAAAAAATACCACTTGCTGTACTATCTTAATATGAAAAATTCTCGACCATGACATGAATCTTCGCAAACGAAAAGTTTCAAGAGTACACGTTTGCAACTTGACGCACGCAAACACGATCGTCTCGACTCGCTCGCCGCACGGCCAGCCGCGCATCACCACCGAACAATAATGACCATCGTTCGCGGGTTGCGCAACGTGTACGTACGATCGATTCGTGATTAACCGTGGTGAACCGATTTTTTTTCTTTTCTGCTTCAGGTAAATGGTGTCCGCGTAGGGAATGGAGTTCACCGCCGGACGCGCAGCGAGCGGCGAGCGAGGCGCGTCGTGGCGTTCTTTACTCTTCCGTCTTCCTCGGTAGCCCCGGTAAGTCTCAACTAGTAACTTTCCTCTCTCGCCCGAAAGCTACACTTTCGGAACTTTCGCCGCCCTTCCAAATTGAATATCTTCGGGAAATATGGCCGGCGAACCGCCACGGAAATTTCGCCCCGAGTCGTACGTTATCCTTAATTAAACGGGACGCCCCGGCTGTTTAACCGTGTCCCGGTGCTCGGAGTTCTCGCATTAATCGCGGCCGAAGTTCGCCGATTGTCGCGCCCCTTCGATCGCGCGGTTTAATCGATGCGAGGGCTCGATCGCGGTAGCCCGCGCGATCGAAGCGGGGAGCGGGGATAGGAAAGGAAAGGAACGAGCACGCACTTCTCGCGGTACGGACGTGCGTGCTCCCGGTGGGAGGAGCGCGATCGTTCGCGGCATAAACAAGTTTTAATCGTGCCTCGGGCATTCGTCGCGTTGAATAAATATTGATATCGGGTGACGCGACGGCCAATCAGAATCGGGGCTTATAAAACAAGCCGCTTACACCTCCGCCTGTCTATCGCGGCGCACTCGCGCCCCACCTATCCCGTCCTCGCAAGGTTATTCCGCGATTATTCGCGCGGCGGATGTCAAACTTGAAAAAAGAGGGAAAAATGGAGGACTAGCGTGGAAGGGTTGTATATCGGCGATATCCTCCTCGGAAACTAGCTTCGAATTTTCGAAGGTTCCTTCTTCGTTCCGCGGTTAGCACGTAGCATCGGCAAGGTCGCGCGTCGGTGATCATCTAATCGCGGAAACGATCCGCGGCGTCCTGTCTATCCTCGGTTTCTCCCTTAATTAAATTACGCGGCCGCCAAGGAGCTCGCCGATAAGAGGACGTAAATCACTTTCAGTCGATAACTAATCGAACGATTCTCCGAGAGACGTTCCCGTGCTTCGCTTCGCTTCTCTTCTCTTCGTTCCCTCTCTTTCTCGCGCAGCCGAAGACGCCGTACCGCCGCGCGCATGCGCTTCCTTCCGTCCCTCTTTCCTCCCTGTACGTGGCGCGCGTTCCTCTCGCGCTCTCCGTGCGCCCTCTTCCTCATCGCTCGAAGGAACGGAGGGAATATGAGCGAATGCCAGAGAGGCAGAGGAGAAGAGCTCGGGCCGTGTTGAAGCGCTAGAGGAGAAAACTCCGGGAGGGTGGGGGGACGGTTAGCCTCGCGAGTGCGAGCGAGAGAAAGGGGACGAGCGTGTGCACGCGAGAGGGAGTCGGCGGAACGCTCGGAGGAAAAGGGACGCGCGCGCGTGTGCGCCCGGGAGGACGAAGGAGACGAACGGAGGGCGAAGCAAGGTGAAAGAGTGAGAGGAGAGGAGCGGTCGCCATGGCAACGAGGCGAGGCGGGAATGCGACGGTAACCATGGCAGCCGCGGGTTACTCT